CCCACCGACTTCCGTGACGTGCGTTATTTGCGCGCCGGGGGTGTGGATGAAAGAAGAGAGGTTGGCAAGCAATGACTTGGTCAAGAGGAATGAAGGCCATCACTTCGAAGTTGGCCTCGGTTGGAGCCTATCGGCTCCCTGGTTAAGGTCCAAAAGACGATGAACACGTTTGGCTGGATGCACTTGTTGACATGGCTAGGAGCCGACCTCAATGGCGTTTGTGTTGTTAGTTTCGTTGTCCTCCCCCCTCGTTTAGCCTCGCCCTCCAACTACGATCTCAATTATTAGGCACAATATTACTCGTTTTTGCGGCACAGTAGCCGGATGTTAGCTCTCCGGAAAGATGTTCATCCGTTGCTGGTGACTCAGCCGGCGGGCCTCTGTTGCATGTTTTTTTCTTTTGTATTGCGGCGCAAAAGATGAGGTGTTTTCTACATGCAGCTAACGTGTATAATGATGATCGGAAATACGTAAGCTTTGGATCAAGGACATCAGTAAATTAGGAGTCTTCGAACACCGGTGCTTAGCTATATCAGGCGAGAACAACGAGCGAGGAATAGTGAGACTATGGCTCTACGATACACCGGAGCGTGTTGAATTCAAACTGAACGGAGGTCTACGTACCGCCAAAACCTGTGAATGAAGAAGCTTTTCGAATCGGTACAATCGTAAAGTCAATGGCGTTCCTTGGATTCAGTCCATACACATCTGGTTGTGAAGATTCTAACCTTATTATAACCCTACCTGCTTTGGAACATAGTCCCTTTTTCCTATGTCATTTCATATTCCCCCAAGATGGTAATCACTATTCATTAGGTTCTCGAGGACCAAATATTATTCACTACACAAGCACCTTAATATGAGGGGGTGAAAAGCAACCGAAAACCTCGACAGATTCGAATGTAGACAAAATGCACGCCTCCGCACAGCACAGGTGGCGTTTATAACCTATGAATGTTAGGACAATCTTAGGGGACAATTTAAACAGATGGATCATGAGTGTGTCCAAGGATTGCGGGTTATTTGCGAAATATATGTGGTCTCATTCACATACCGACAGAACACAGTCGATTGAAGTGGCTCACGGCCACGTGACTGGGACTTAACGCGGTGCGACAGTTTGCATGCCTCTAACCTATCTTTGATGTTGCTCTCAGGCCAATTAAGATGTGCATCTATTGTACTGGCCAATGGATGAAGGCCGAACGAACTACATCCCCTAGAATTCCATGCTGGGGTTGGGAATGGGGTGACACGCAGTTACATAAGACTGGCTCGCTGCCATCTTCATGCTGCCTTGGGGCCAGGGTTTTGAGCCGAAGGTTACGGATGAGGACTCTGGTAGTGATCCTGTATAGGTTCGGGTGCACTGTGAGTATCCCAACCTACATACAACCACAACTACCTTAACAAACTTCAACCACATTCCGCATCAGCCTTTGCGCAGTTTCAATGCTTTGCGACAGGAGAGGTAAACGAAAACGTACTACTGCTGAGGTCACTATTCTTTCGCAAGTGGTTTTCCTACTCCCCTCACTATTTCATTGCTAACCTTCTCACGACAAGCACCAACTTAAATGTCGGCAACTGCTGCACCATTGGAGTTATGTTATTTGCAAGTATACTCTAGAAGTACCAACTGAACTCCTGTCGTAAATGGCTCCCATAAGACCGTGCCGCCTTGTTTTACGTTCGCATCTTGAAACAGACAGGCCAACAATCCACATTTGCAAGTCAGTTGGACTCACTGAGTATTGACACGTGCCACGTGTTCGAAACTAGAACAAATGACCCGCACGCGGTCATCGAACCAATAGTGCCCAGGCTAACTGGAGGGGTCATTTTGATGTGCTTGTTGTGTGGATGGATTGCGACGAGCAATCACAAGATAGGCCGCGATTCGCATTGACGTGAACCTTGGTCAATTCGCTCACTTGAGCCGTAGCTGAAACAGGTGGATATTTGGTATTACTCGCGCGAAAACACGAACTTGTCCGATCTAGTCAGATAGAAATAGCGGGCAGTGGAACGCAGGGCCTTTGGTATGCTAGCTGAAATCTATACCTTCAAGTCGGTTGCTTCAGTTCCGGTCCCAGTGATCGATTTGAACAGTTCACTTCACTGCCGGCTAGTTCAGCACTAGAAGTATTGGTGCACAATATAAGCTGACACAACCAGTCGGGAAGCTTATGAAGGGTCTGACAGTGTCAGTATACGCGGCACGAACTTAAGAGATTTAAAGAATTGTTTGCTGAATACCAACCAGTGAGTACCGGTTTTAAGCATTCGACGCTGCTACCAGACATGAGCGACAACCTGCAGACAACGAGGGTTTGAATAGGACAAATCTGCTCTCAATGCGCAGTGGTCACGTATCTGAGACGCACAGTAACACCGTGGTGCAACAAACCCTAAGTTGGAACGACAGATCGATGTCACGCAGCATCCTGTCTTACAATGTAATCAACCTTGCGGTTGATTGAGAACCACGGGAGACAATGGAGTGGGCGCGCATAGTAAGTAGACGATCCAGTTCAGAAGCAAAGTTTGAAATGTTGAGTAAGGAGCATGGTCGTAGACCTGCCAGCGCCATAAAATTAAGACGATATGAGCAAGCTATTACTAGGTTTGGTGCAAGGCGCTGATAGGTGTCACAGACCAGCCGACCAGCAGACTGAAAAATGTGAGCTCACACATAGGAGATAAGGAGTTATTCAGAGACATCAAACAAGGCTCATTTGCTGTTTTGGAAGGCTGTGTAAGTAGGTATTTTTCCTTTTATCAGTGTCAATGCATTGCGAGAAGAGGATGCACAATGGGTGAAAGGCAGCGGGTATTAACACTGGTGAAATACACTGGTGAATACATGGTCGGATTTGTCAAAGTGGACGAAGTGAAAGTGTCACAAGCCTGATAACGAGAAGTAATTTACTTAAAACGGGGCAACACTTAAAAGATCCGGGGTGACCAAACTGGGTTATGGTGAGAGCGACAAAGGCATGAGAGTGAGGCGTCTTGGATACTGCAATTAATCTCATAGTCAGAGATTATATAAGCAAACTAGTGTCGATATTCCGCGATTGAACTGGTGAGTAACTAACAAGAGAAAAATTCAAAATAAAGCGCACAAATAGCACTTGAAGAGGGAAGATTGTGAGGTCATCCAAGTAAGACGGTCGTGGATTGTATATGCTGAGTTTCAAGTCTGACCGTTTGGACGACATTCCAAGTTTATTGCCCCGAGCGAAGTATCATAAGAAACCAAACCTTCCCAAATACCAAGTGATTAGACTAATCGGAAAGTGATATGAAGTAATGATAATAGGGATATCCCATGTCACGTGGATACCAACAAGACAGCCAAATAATTCCATTGAAGCTTCCCAGAGCGGTACGTTCCCCTGAGCACCACAACCATAGTCGACCCAATGTAAGACATGGAAGTCAGATGATATAGATGGGAATGATAATCCAACTATAGCCAACTAGCCCTCATACAGCTGACAAGGTACCATCCGGTATCAATCGTGGTACAGTGTAGAAGGGCTAAAAAAGAGAAGTCCTCATCTGCCGCACAAGAGTCAAGACGACCGTTCCAGATTTGATCAGTTGGAATTTGTTACGAGAGATCAGTGGACTTTGTGAATGGCAGTTTTGTCCCTATAAACATTGAACCGGAAGATACGTATTGCCTTAGTTTCGCCACTAACCAAGTCTATGGCACAAAAGCGACAAGACCGACAAAATTACTGCTAGGGAGAAAACTGACTACTTTGTATGTCACAGCAGTAAATCACTTAGTATGTAATTCAGCGAGTTACGGCAGTTTCACACAGTAGTCTTATATTAAATTGTGTACGAAGAGGTACTCGAAGGTGGAAAACAATGTTCAACAACGAAAGAAGCAGCATGTAAGGTGTAAAGTTAGTGGGGACGGATAGGCATAGTTATCTTGGCCAATGAAGGCAGAATGGGAGTCGTAAAAGAGGGCGCGCATTCGTCCAGCATGAAGATTCAATGGGTTTGGTCACTAGATTCAGTGTACATACGTCCACGACCGAGAAGGTGAAGCAGACTGGGGAACAATGAGAACTACAGGTACCATCGCAAATGTTCGCAACTAATGTTGCCAAACATGTCTTGTCTCAAAATGTCAGCATCATCTCGCTTCCGTCATGCCATGACGAGGCCAACTGTACCTCGGTGTGTAGATAATGTGACCGCGAGTTGTAACTTAGAACTAGCCAATATAGATAATGAATGGACTCAGATATCGGTTTCCCCACAAAGCAACCACATTCACCAATTGAACTGACGTGTTTTGGAAGTTGGAACACTTCAGGTACCAGTTTCAGATGGCTGAACACTCATTACGTGAGAAAAGAGCAACAACTAATACATCGTGCAATGTTTGCGCGTAGATAGACCGGTTTTGGCTTGCAGATTGGAATGATAGATAGGACAAGTGTTTGGTCGGGGACGTCATTCAACATTGCCAAATATTTAATGCTACCCGTAAAATTCATGCTCGCGTTCATCCAACCTCAGATGAGATATGGTGACATTATTGGATGCTAGGCGAATAGAGCTAAGAGGAACGCCTTGTCAATAGGCCACACTTGACGTCTCTTCACTGCAAGTGAATAAGGATAGCGGGGGGGGGGGCAAGAAGCTAAAAGTATGTTTTATGCCACAGCACCATTTTTACGTCATCACAAACCAAAAACCTAGAGCGAAATTCCCAAGCGTTTCTGCTATCGATGGGAATGGGCAGTCACGAGTGAGGCGTGCGAAAAGGACTCATATATGCGAAACTGATCCCAAGAGACAAGCAGGATGTCATAGCGTCGTGAAAGAAAATAGGTCTTCATAGACACACCGATTTGGTGAAAACTGTAGCGACGATGAATGAATGGGAGGCTGTAGGAGCATGTTTAATTAATACAGTGAACAAGCCACAAAACAATCCCACAGGACGCGATAAACACAGCAACACTAACCGCAAAATGAATCGGTCCAAGGCTTCTTCGCCAATTACATCGGTCATACCGTGATCCGAAGTGAGAATCATGTTTATAGGTGTGTCTTTGGCAGTGGAACGCAGCTGATGCAAGTGCTTGTCCAGTACTTGATCCAGATTATACAAGTGGGAAAAGAGCTCGTCGGAGAGAGGTCCATGCCGATGCCCCAGCTCATCCAGCTTATCGTAGTAGACAACTGATAACGAGAGGGGGGAGGATAGCACATCGACTCGACATTGTAAAAGGCGTATAACCCACAAAATCAGGAGTAAATCCAAAAGAAATTCATATAAGATTAACTCGAAGGAGTGGAACAGAAGCGAAGCCATTAGAGTCATTTTGGGATAGCCATTCAACGCCAAAGCAGCTCCTATATGAAGGAGAAGGGTGAAATAAGAAGTCCGCTTTCTGCGGAGCAAATGATCATCATTATTTCATGTCCAAATGAATACAGTTCGCGTCAAATCATGTAACACCCCACGGCGTAGCTTAAGGTGCATCCATCCTGATCATGGTTGGAAACTAATACAGAGCATTTGTATGATGAAATTCCGTCGTCGGATAATCAAAGAGGGGAGAAGCCTTTTAGGATGGCTAGGGTTGGTGGGATCGTCCAGTCGGAGGGAACTGATGGACCCAAGGAAAGAAACAAGGCAGCCAGTTAGAGGCAAACCTGAATGACTCGTTCATTAGACGCAGTGTGGATCGTTTGCTTACATGGCCCCGCTCATTTGCTGACGATCCTCGTCGTTTGTTTAACCGAGCCAGAAAAAAACTCACCGGCACAAAATGTCATGGTAAATAAAAGTGGATGAGTACCATATATAGAGGCGTCTACCGACCAAACATTTTGTGATTTTTGCTTGTCCATCTTAGCTGAGAAAACCGGCTGTCCTAAAGGAATTGTCATTGCGACGCTTGAGACGATAGCGTAATCAACAGGTGTGTACCGTTTGGAGGTGAAAACAATCACACATTTGACGATTCTAGATGAAAGTAGTAAGAATTGGTTTCAATGAAGCTGATAGGAGGACAAAGAATGCGAACGTTGAGCATCTTACGAACAAAGACGAGTGTAAGGGGGCGCGACGGACTGAACTAGCAGGCTGCAGGTCTTCACAAAAGCAGGACTTGGACGACAAAACCGAGAAAGTAGAGGAGAAATAAAAAAGCAAACAAAAGAGAATAAAGGGTGTGGATCAGGAAACCTAAACAATTCACTGCTTCGCAGCAAGGCGATCAAAGTTCAACACGAAGAAACTTACAGATACAGAACGGTGAAGAATTTTCAATTTGATGTTTGATGTCTCATTTTATAACCAAACGTTTGGCAGTAAACCGGCAGTCTGACTAGGGGAGCACTGCAAAGATATCACTGATGCAGGTCGCGAACACTGTTTTGAGCCCACGCACCAACTTTGGAGGCAATGCGAACCGATGACATAGAGCCCAGTGAATAAGGATTTCATTTCATGCTACCAAGTCCGTCGCTACACTGCTTGAAACACGTTCCATGAAACTCAAAAGCAAAAACCAGTCAGTAAATGAGCAACAGTAGCACGTTCTCAAATTAACGCAGCCTAATGATAGGCAATTGATTTTATAAGCACACTGGTGCTACCTGACATGAACAATGCTCCGTAGATGAACAAAGAACCGAAGCCTCGTATTGTGACGCAACGGTCCGACTGTGGCAATATGAAGAAGGATCCTTAAGATCAAGGAAAGCTTACTAAAGCCGAAGTTGTCGCAGATTCATAGGTATGTCAAGCTTATGCAAAAGTGAGCCAATCTCAACAGCGAAACGTCTATCGTTAGTGACAGCTGTTCAAACGCGTCAGTTCCTCGATGCCAAAGCCACAGGGACAGCAGATGACTTGTAGTTCTACGATAGCACATTGCACTTTGAAGGAGTAAAACGAATGCCAATGGATGAGACCCCTATTGAATCAACAGAATATTGACTATGCTGCCTAGCATTTATCGAACAGACGCCAATATCGGTCGTAGAAACCAAAGTAATCAGTTTATCAATGAACAGAAACTGGATGTCTGCAACGAGAGAATCCCCAACGGAATATCATATACTAGAGTCTAGGACCGTGTTGAATGTGGTGGGAAGATAGGGTAATCCAGACGAATGCCATTGTAGGAAATATATCCGAAAGCTCGCTGTAACGGGAGACGTGGCCTGAGGTGTTCGAGTTTAGGATGCACAAAATATTCATGTTTCATGGGGAAAACTTTCCGAACAAGCACGTTAGATGAAGCGGAGCAATAGAGTGGTGAACGCGTCCATGAATTTGAGGGACATGGCTACAGCTGGCATGAGGTATGCGTAACGCTGCCGTGGCACTCGTAGTAGAGTAAAAATGCAGTTTAAACTGTCTGCTCCTAATCGAAATCCTGCCTGAGTTCTCATTCGAGATTCGCGTTCAGCAGTCACGCAAATAATCAGCCAGCCACCGCTGTCTTTCAGTTAAAGCGAACAGATTTTCTGGGGAGAAAGGAGGAAAGAAGAATATTCCTCAATTTAGTTTATCCAACTAGCTTAGTTTCAATGGGTCTTCACAAGCGTTAAAAGCGGTTTCAGTGGGTGACCTCTTCTATCAAGCTTCCGCTGAATGAAGCGAAACATTCGCGTGTAGATCATTTTCACTGTGTGATTTCTAGCAAAATCGGAGCTTAAGGTGTTGGTTTCACGGCTTCGGATCTGCCGGGGAAACTGAAATTCGTGTCAGAACACCCGAGTTAATTGATGAGCAAAACCGATCAACTAAACCCAATACCGATCACCGATGATTCGTATGAAGCGTTACATAAATACGACTATGTGTCATGCATCGCATGTATTCGCTATCAAAGCAACATGTATGTTAAAAGAAATGGGTGTACACAGTGAGACCACATAAGCCAACCTTATCAAAAGATATCAAATAAGCAACAAGGAGTACCATTCCCATCCCAACGTTTCTCAGGTCCCTGGCGCAACGCAAACCTTGCAGAAAACAAGTATCTACCGTTCTTATGAAAAACTCGCTTGTTTAAGTCGTGCTTCTGCTTGTGGAGTAGACGTCCAAAAGCACAGATGCGTCACTGTGAAAATCAACCGAATACCGCCGCGAACACCCCCGACATGGTAGAGCACTGGGAACAGCTCGGTGAACCCTGGCAAGTCGGTATAGGGGAAGTAAGCGACTCATGCGCTGAATACGCATACAGTGAGAAACTGGCGAACAAAATTCGACCAAATGGGATCGTTCAAATGTCATTAGGCTGGTAATAAAGTTATTGCGGTTTTATGACATTTTAAAAGTTGTTTTTGAATAACAAGTTTCAGTAAGTTGATTTGACCTTTTACCTCAGTTTAAAGCCTGTTTTGCTCTCTATCCAGCAATAATCACTACTTGGTTCAGAAACACGTCCTTACATCTGTACAGAACATTTAATGCCGCGTGGACAGAAGACAAATTCATCGTTTTCGTGTACCAGTTCGACCTCGGTCGAAATACAGTGGAAACAGTCCATGACATCAACAGTGCATTTGGTGCTGGAATCACTACTAACCGTAATGCACAATGATGATCATAAAAAGTTCGAAAAGTTTGCGAGAAGTTTAACGATTAAGAGCGTTGTGGACGGTCATTGGAAGTGAACAACGATCAATTAAGGGTCTAAATTAAAGCGGATCCGCGTAAAACTATTCGAGATCTTGCTGCTGACTTAGCAATGTCGCATGTGACAGTTTAAAACATTTAAGGGTGATTGGAATATCGAAAAAGCATGATAAGTGGGTGCCACATGAATTGAATGAAAGTCAAAAAATCTTCGTTTTGATGTGTCGTCTGCTTTCTTCTTTGCAATAACAACCACACGTTTCTCGACCGGATTATGATCTGCGATGAAAAGTGGGTCCCTTACGACAGTCGATGACGAAGCTCCCAGTGGTTGGACCACGATCAAACTCCCCATTGTCAAAAGCCGAAATTGCACCAAAATGTTATGGTAACTGTTTGGTGGTCTGCGACTGGTCTGATCTATCACAGCTTTCTGAATTCAGGGGAGACGATTACAGTGGAGAAGTAATGTCAAAAAATTATCGAAGTGCACCAAAAATCAACACAGGTGGCCGGTACTGATAATAGAAAAGCGCCAATTCTTCGTCATGATAACACGCGGGCGCACATCGCACAAACGACCTTGCGGAATCTGCACGAGCTAGGCTACAAAATTTTGCCTCACCCACCATACTTTTCTGACCTCTCACCTACCGATTACCAATTTTTCAAGCACCTGGATGACTTCTTCCGAGAGCAAAGTTTAAAACTTAAGAAGATGCTGAAACCGTCTTCAACGATTTCATCGCCATCAGAAGTACGGAATTTTATTCATCAAGAATGAATAAATTTGGTTCCTGTTGGCAAAAATATGTCAATACAAATGGTTTTCATTTCGAATAAAATTCCACGTTTGAACCAAGATATGTGTAGTAAAAGTTTAAGATTAAAAACCGCAATAACTTCAATATCAACCTAATATTAGCTAGGAAAAAAGCAGATAAAAGGCTAATACAATCAGTGGCATGGCGCAGTGGCCGATGTAAGTAAGTTCAGACGGCATGCGAAATCATAAGCATGGATGTGTGAACTGACCAGGAAAGATAACGTCGTGTCCTTATGAGGTGACTGAGGGTGATGGAGGTGTTTGACACACCAAGCAACTCAGGCTATTCACCTAATCCATTGAGACATAAGTCGTATACCAGTACGTTACACCTCTGCTGAGTAGGATGGTCCGGATACAACCGTGGCGCCAAAAGACCCAAGGGAGTAGGGACAAGAACACGAGAAATAGGAGTAGCAAGCCATATGTCTGCGATATTATTATTATTATTATTATTATTATTATTATTATTATTATTATTATTATATTACTCATCGGACCAGCAGATTCTCGAGTAGGAAAAAGATTACAGTGACCCCTTGGGAATACATCTGACCGGATCCGAGCCATAAAATATACTATTGGAACTCTTAGCAATCAGAAGAGAAAGATCGTCACAGAATCCCGGTTAGATGGTTTTGAGCAGACCTCGAAATGAAATCAAACAGTGAATTTCAACCGGTGAATCAGGAGGTGCTACCAAAGAATCTGTGGGAGATCTTAGTGATCTAACTCGACTATGCTCCTGATTACTAAGAAGTAATCGAACAGGAGATGGTATACAAAGAACGAAGAACATTTTTGAGGGTCACAAGGAAGGTATAGTTATGCACAAGCTTCCGCAGCCTGTACAGAGCCATACTGTAGTGATTGAAGTCCAAAACGTAAACCCATCTCGCCGATAGTAGGGTTCGAGTGAATCAAAGTGCGCTGGTAACCATAACGCCATCCTGATGGACAGCGTGAAGCACTAGAGAAACGGTGAGCATGTTATACTCCACCTAAGGGCGGTTAAACGACTGACAAGCCTGGTACAGTGACATCCGAAATGAGGTGTAGTTGAATACCGATGGGAGAGCGTTCGGCTGAGTAAATAGCGCAGTGAGACAAATCGTATATAATGCACCGGGAACTGCGCCGTAATATATAATGCAATGAAAGCACTAATAGAAACGGATGCACCTTGGGATAACTTACCAACGATGTCAGAAGATCTCTCCTTAAGACGAGTCAGCGCCCGGGAGAGAATGATGTCCAAGCCCTCAGGTGTCATGTAATCTGGCGTGTATGGTTCACAGTTCATCGTCCCTACCGTGAGATTCGTGCAAATTGGTAGGTGGTACATGTATACAGCTTTATTCTGAAAGGAGTAAGTGTTGAACAAAGAAAAGAAGATACGAAGGAGATAGGAGATTTCCATACAAAAAGATATCGCGAAGAGTCCGAATGAAGACCGACTAGCCTAGGAAGCGGTGTATTACATACAAACTTGCTAAGAGTAAAAGGTTCGTGTTCGACGTCTAACGAATGAGCGTCTGGCCCACTGGGGCATGTGGGATTGAGTTCCTAGTGGAACAATGATCTGCTGTTGTCATGTTCTTGCTGGAGACCAAATTATGGGAGTCTATGCGCAGTGGTCTCTAAATGGGAGTTTAACAAAAATTCCGAATGAAAATCGTGGCCTAATGGAGTGGTTTTTGGATCACATTTCAGTTTACTCTAGTGGATACGGTTGAGGGTACGGTCCATACCCATTTTAAAATGTGAGCGCTCAGATAAATTGCAAAACGAAATATGAATACAGCAAACAAAGTTAATCTCATGCTGTAGTGACGATTGTGCAGTCAGAGAAAAACATCCAACCTGAAGGATACGGTGAGACAATGATGCCAAAAGATGCTACCGATGATGCCTACCGCATTTCTCCTCCCATGTACACTCCACGCTTGTTTCTTCTCAATTCCCACTTGAGCTGCTTTGTTCCGTCATCCGCCTACCGAAGCTCCTGCTCCATCGCATGCTCCCGTGCAAAACGATGAAGATTGAATGGTGAGACATTGGTACCGCGGTTGTAGCCAAGGGATAGTACAGTGCTCAATGAAGTTGGCATGGTTAAACAACTCGCGTGAGAATGCTAGCAAGAGTTAAATCAGTTCACAAACAGACTTGAAAGTAACTTTGTATGCCGGATAGTTAAACGCCCTCAAAACGATTAAGACAGAGGGAATACCGACGTGAAAACAAAATAAAAGAGTCGGGATTTTTCTAACGTGTAAAGCTGCCCATATGAAACAGGCGAATACTGCCCTAATGACGGGCTGAAGTTTGAAATGGAAAATGAGGAAGTCGAAACACTAGTAATCCAGAAGTTCACGATAATATTTCCGAGTCACCTGAAGAGAGATGACGCAGTCGGCTCTGACGCTTTGTATACAAAAGACCAAATAGACCAACAAACCCAAAAATTCATGCCCGATATCAGGCCTGTAAGGAAGTGCTGAAACTGAGAGCACTATTAGCTAATGCAGCTAGCCGTTTAAAAACTACCGATAACCTATCAATGTCGTAACGGAATACAGGCAAAAAGGTACCAGTGGCTATGGACTGTGAGACAACACGAGCTTATCACTATCAACAATAGTACATGACATCATTATCACTACACAGGGTAGCTGCAGGTGGCAAACACCTCATCTATTGTGCTGTAATACAAAAGAAAAGAAATAGCATGCAATAGTAGCACACCGGATGAGTCATCAGTAACGGATGAACATCGTTCCGGAGAGCTTACAGCCGGCTATTGTGCCGCAAAAAGAAGTATTCTGTTGTGCATATGTATTCAGATCGCAGTTGGAGGAGGAGGCTAAGCGGGAGGGACAAAGAAACTCACAGCACGTAGGTCATTGAGGTCTGCTCCTAGCCATGTCAACAATTGTAACCAACCAAACGTGTTCATCGTCCTTCGATCCCCAACCAGAGAGCCGAGGCTCCAACCGAGGCCATATTCGAAGTAAGGGCCTTCATTCCTCGTGACCTAGTCATCGCTTGGCTAGGTCTCCACTTCGTCCATCCACACCCGGCGCGCAAACAACGCACGTCGCGTGAGTCGGTGGACTGACATGCGCAAGATGTAGCTCAGTCATTGGAGCCTGGTGTGTGAAATGACGGTGCTGAGCGGTTCGTTTCTTTTTCCTACGTCAGAAATAAGGTGTCAAACACGCTCATTGCTCACAGAATGTTCCCGTCAGATGTGAGCCAAACTGCGAAAGCACCGGTAGGCGAACGTAACTAGCCTCCTTATGTCTGCTGATCTAATGAGCCAGGTTTTACAGCTACAGTACGGTCGAACGTACGGTTGCATTGTACACTCTACTCTTCAGAATGAAAGTGATGTCGCGCCGGCGCCATAGATGGCGAAAATTAGCAAGTGTCTCGTGCTTTGGCTATATGGTTTGCAACCTCGTGTTCAATTTCAAAGGCGCTGGTACAACTATCTAGGTAGTTGGAATTTTGTAGCACTTCTAGCTGATCCTCATCAAGGGTCAGCGTAAAAGACGGTCTCTGCCAATCTTCGAGAAAAGCCTTGCACTTCGAGGGCGCAAAGCAAAGCCGGAAGCGGCTGACAGCCAGTGCTAATCTGTCCAGTGCCGCTTGGCACGCCTTGGGGCAGTCAAAGATGAGAGCAATATCGTCTGCATACTCCAAATCAAGAAGTCGCTGACCTGGGAGCAGCTTCACAAGTTATAAGTCGTGTACTGTGAACGCGATCTACATGACTTCGTCAATATCGAAGTTTAAGAGAAAATGTGATAGCGGGCATACTTGTTTTACACAGATGGAGAGATTGAAGGGCGGCAACAGCTTGCTGTAAGTCCTCACTCTGCCTGAGTCACGCGCGTAAAGCGCTCGTATATTATTTACATACTCCGCGGGCACACGTTTCATTAGCAGACATTCTCAAAGGGCACATCAATCCACCGAATCGAAGGCACCTTTGATGTAGAGGAGCAAGATAACAGTGGGCCACCAATATATGTGCCGGTGCTCCAACAACTGACGTAATGTGAAAATGTGGTCGATTTATCCCCGACCATGACGAAACACGACATGCCTCTCACGAATTTAGTTTTCACGAGCGCTAGTCAGTCTGAGGAACATTACGGAGGCAGGTAACTTGAAGACGATGAGGATCAGACTGATTTCACTGTAATTGTCGCATTCCAAACGCCAGCCTTCTTCGGAGATCGGGACAATAACGGAGCGGCTTTAGTAGGTTTGGACAGTTTGCTGCTCCCACAGTTACACCAGTAATTCGTGTAAATCCTCAACAAGAGCAGAGCCCCCGAATTTGAAAGGGGCTGGCTGAAAATCCTTTGGTCACAAGACTTTATTCAACGAGCAGTCCGATCTCATGTTTTACTTTCGAGCGAGAGGGTGAATCCAAAGGGACAGCCCACGGAGCAGGGCGATCACTTGCCGGTGAGGAATCGAACGATTCCGGCCGATTAAATTGCTTTTCAAAATGCTCAGCCCAACGCTCTAAACGCTTTGACAAATTGTGGATAGCCTGTCCACTCTCTTCACGTATAGTTTCACTAACACCAAGTCTCCTGCTGCCCGTTTCCCGTAGTATACGGAATAACTCCCGACGGTTACCAAGGGCAGCGGCCACTTTCCACCTCTGACGCACGATGAGACCATCAAGATTCGCGGTCTCTTCAGGCTAGTATGGAGTTTCGCCCTGATGTTCTTGCGAGTCTTGTTGTGTTCACTCCCAGCCGGAATGTGCCGGCGAGCATCGATATGTTTGAGAGATTGCGAAGAGTCCCAATGTCGATTTTGGCTAGTGGATTTATTACATGATGAGTTAGCTGCTTCTAGTAAGGTTTGGTGAACATGCGAACAGTGACCAACTGTATTCAGTGAACTCTTGCTCAACCCGAACGCCAGTGTACTTCGAGACGCATTCAGAACACCTGGCTTCGCCAGTTGGCCGGTGTCTATGCGCTCACATGGTCATCAAGGGCGTCCAAAAAACGCACCCGCAGATCACAGATTTTTCGCTTGGCGCTCGTTTCGGTGGCAACACGCGACTGCCGTCTGTGCTGTGCATCCTCCGTTCCCCTAGCTAAAGCGTCAACGGTGTCGTTTTTTATAGCTAGGTAACAGGGAATCTTTTACTGTATCAATAAAAGCTTCCCTGCAACCCCATCTGCCTTTTCGAATCGCTCTCTGGGCTCCCGGTACAGGCTACCCGCTAAATTGGTGACCCCGACTCCGGAAGAATCTCAACGCCGGATATTTCGAACTTTTCTCCGGTGAGCTCGTTCCATTTATTTTTCATACTTTCCGGTTTATTTTTGCATACGGCAGCCTATTTTTGCGTCATTTTTTTAAACCATGGAATCTGTAGATCCTAAGGTAGTCTCTCCTTTGCGTTGTATCTCTTTCTGTGCCAACGTTTTGGGACATGGATGCTCTTTTGTGGTTCGCTCACCTTGAGGCTGGTTTATAACCACAGAATCACTTCCGACTACGCGAAGTAAAGCAAGCTCATGTCCTGTCTCCGCAAGGAGATATCAATGCAGGTCCGTGACGTTATCATTTCTCAGACCGAAACCCGCTATGAGGCTCTCAAGGAGACCACGATTAAGCGTGGTATACCCTCTGAGAAAGTTCGCCTACAGCAGCTTTTCAGGGATCTTCAGCTGGGCGACAAACTGCGCCCAACCCTGCTACGAGAGATGCAGCAACTCCTCGGTTCCTCAACCATACACGAGACTTTACTTCGCGAACTATGGCTACAGCGGCTACCGGAAAACACTCAAGCGATTCTTGCTATCGTGAGCTCCGTTTCGCTCACTCAACTAGCAGATTTAGCGGATCGAGTTATTGAGCGATCGCAACCACAAGCCGACGCCAGCAAGATCAATGCCGTCGCGTCCCACGGCACTTCTATCACTGGCTTACAGTCAACTATAGAAGCCATGCAAACACAAGTTGCGACACTTAGTCGCCAGGTTCAACAGCTTACTATGAACCGTCGTCGTCATAGCCGATCAAAATCGCCCTTCAAACGTTCCAAGTCCAGCAACAGGCAGACTTGCTGTTGGTACCATCAGCGCTCTGGTACCTCGGCTTGTAAATGTATCAAGCCTTGCAACTTTGTCGAGAAGCAGGGAAACTCCTCGGCCGGCCCGTAACGTCGACTGACGCGACCGGTCAACACCAAAGTCGCCTCATCCGCGTTAGGGATTAAATTTCCGGCACCGAGTTCCTAGTCGACACTGGAGCCGAAGTTAGCGTTATATACCCGTAGCTTAGATGAGATCGTCTCACCCTTGCCGACCAAGCTGCGTG